CTCCTCAAACTGGCGCTCGCAGGCGTGCGCCACACCAAACGCGTCACGTCTGACGATGCGGGCGTTGTCCGCCCAACGTGGGATCCTGCAAGCTGGGACGAGCTCGGCACGCTGCTCGCGGGCGCCGAGCGGTTCAAGGCGTCGACTGGTCTCCAGGCGCTGTGCAAGCAAATCTCAAACCTCGCGAACAAGGAGCCGAGTGAGAGCGCCAAGAAGAAGCGCAAGGTCGATGCGGTGGAGGGAGGGGAGGCAGAACCTACGGAGGTTACCAAAAAGCCGAAGCGTAAAAAGCAAAAGGCATCCAAGTCCTCATCATAATGTCGAGTATATAGGTCCAATCTAGGCTGTGGGTATAGAAGCGGCAATGCTACAAAGATCGAGTAAAGCCTGTGCGGACGCTTCACCCTGACGCAGTGCAACTTGCACAAGTCCAAGCGCTTTGCGAAGCCTACCATCGACGCTGCTCAGTGGTGCTCTGTAGTACAGCGTCAAGACAGCGGGCTTACCGGTTTCTCCTTTTTCTCTCGCTGATGAGTGTTTCCATTGTAAGAGCCTGGGCCTGGGCCTTCTGCAAGATATTTTCGGCAACACCAGCCAGCCTTGCGCACTCGACTCCAAACGAGTTTTCGGCGAGGCCGTCTGAGAGTCTATACAAGAACGTAACCTGACGCGTGCCATCAATCCGTGTGTCCTCGGTATAGCTCATGTGCATATTCTGGACGTCGTTAGGAAATCGACGTGCCAGGTCGAGGGCGACCTCCGGATAGTGCGTAATGAAGAGCGTTTTGCACTTTACGTTCTCTATGAGGTGTTGCAGGACCGCACTGGCTATAGCCATCTGCGAGAGCCATCAATATCAGCTATACTAATCCCGCGGGAGGGAGAGTGGCGCGAGTACGTACGCCGTCAAAGGTAGAAGTACCTCTTCCAAGTTCATCTAATATCACGAGCGACCTAGCGGACGCGAGCTGCATAATATCGCTCGTTTCCTGCAACTCGACCATGAACGTGGATCGCCCACGGGCCAACTCGTCAGACGCTGCGTGTTTTAACATGAGCACAACCCGTCATGCTACCACGTTCTCCCACCTTACCTCCCATCCGTATGAGGATACCGTCGAGCATGCCAAGCTTCATGGACTCGGCGGGGACATACGATCCAATCTGCGCCATCTGTGATCGTCGTTCGAGCCCGATGAGACGAGCATCTCCAGCGAGATACACTAGAGTCCACTCACGATCGCGCACAGTGCAATCATCCGCACGACGCTGCTCTTCCCGCCCATGTTCGGCCCTGTGATGACCTTGTGCCCCTGCGGGTGCATGCACACCGTATTGGGCACAAACGGCTCGTCTCTGAGCTTCTCGATCATGGGATGTCTGCCCTCCACGATCTCGAGCGGCGTCCTCCCGCCCTGGGCCTCGTCCCGGTCATTGACGAACTCGGGCCGCACGTAGCCCTCCTGCACCGCAACCAGCGCGAGGCTGCACAGGCAGTCTGCGACGGCGAGCTTGTTGACGGCATCGCGGAGCACGGCGTAGTGGTTCTGGGAGATCTCGCCCAGGAAGGACCGGTACGCGCGGTTAGCGCTTTCCTCTAGGGCTTCCTTGAGTTGTGCACGCTCCTCGAGCTTGGTGATGATTCCGGGCGTGCGAAGACGGCGCACAGTACGAGTTCTACGAAGTGGGCGCACATTTAGACTTTTCAGGAACAGTGCAGTAACAAGGGGCGTACGAAGAAATCAAACGCCAGTCTGGGGGGACTTCTGGCAGGTCAGCCTTTCTGATCTCGAGCAGGTACTTCATTGCACATATTAGCTCCCCGACCTAACAGAGACGGGAGAGAATCATACCTCTTCGCCAGCTACCGTTGAATACTGCAAAGCTGGCCGCCGCAGCTCCTTTCTGACTGTACACGGAGTTAACAGGAACGTATATGTATGGTGGCCTTACAGCCTCACCTTTTCCCAATTCGTCCTTCAGCTCAGACTCTGTCACTTCTATGCCCTGTACGAGGCAGTCGTAAGTCGTCTCGTTTCCAAATCATTGGAGCTGGACTGCTCACCATCATGATCTCGTCCAAGTCGGGGTACTTGTTCAAGTCCGTCCACATAGCATCTTTCCTCCCTTCCTTGGCCATTTTCAGGTTGACAGCACCGAGCAAGGACTGCATCGGCTCCCTCAGTCTAGGCAAGGCCGCAACAATATCGTTCAGCAACGAAGAGTCGAACGCTGCGGTGTTCGCGGGAAGTCGGTCGAACGCCGTCCCGAGCTTGTTAAAGGCCGACAGGAGCAACGCGAGCTCTTGTGGTGTGCATTTGCCATACTGGATGCGACACAGGCCCCGGGCAAGGTCGGGAAGACCGCGGAGGGCCTGGCGCAGCACGGTAAGAGAAGGTGATGGAGTCGTGAGAATCTCGTCGATGGCGTCCGTTCGAGCTGTGAGGACTCTATAACGTAGCAAGGTCGGTTAGGATGCCTGGGTAAATTAGATAGACGTACATTTTGTCAGTCAGCGGACGGCCTATCCAGTCCTTCAGCATGCGCGTGCCGAATTTCGTGGTCGCGTGATCAAGGACCCACAGCAGTGAGCCTTTCTTTGTAAAGTCTGTCTCATTGCGGTAAATTTCCCTGTGCAGGCGTTAGAAGATACAATGCGACGATAGAAAATAAACATACAGATTAGTCAACGTATTCCCATTCAGTAGCATGTGCGTCCTCTCTGTGAAGCGCGAAAAGAACTGTGTTTCTAGCAGAGCATCCGCAACATCAAATGTCGACAGATATTTTACTAAATGGGCTAGAGCAACAACAACGTCCTTGGGAAATGACGCTATTGTTGCTATTAGCTGGCCTTCGAAATGACACCTTAGTAGAGCTGAGGTTGCTGAGAATACTCAGCTTACCAGACTTGAAACTCTGACTCGCTCGAATGTTCTCAGCTTGGTGGTCGTCGGAGTAAAAGTGTGTCACATAATTGAACGCGTCAGTATATGCCATGACTGATTTGAAACGTTCCGTGCGAATCTTGTATTCAGTATGAGAGTGACTGATGATATATATTATGTTATTATGAGACCGCCCGCATGTTTACCAGTATACTTACATAACGAAATGTTTCAACATCTTCTCCGTTGGACCACTAAGGCCGGTGTCTGGAAGCAGTAGCTCTGCGGGTGCGATGTGCACAAGTCTCGTCTACTTAGGGGAAGTATGAATGAGCACTACATCTCACAATGGAGTAAAATCAAACTTGCCTCCAGCTCCGTTCGCATGTGGTTATCTATACGATGCTTTGTGAGCTTAACATGCTGTATACGATTCATGGATACTTGCCTTCGAAATGATCCCACATGACATCTCCTGTACTTGCGCACACGCTAATCAAGCTGACCTTTACCTTCTCATCGGTCCCAAGACCACCTGACGGCGACTCGACAAGACAGGTGAGAGGAGGTACACTCATTGGATCAAGAGCGTCGACAGAGTCTAGTTGGTCAACATAGCTGAAAATTATTGGTTAATACTGGTAATTCCAGCGAGACATGGCTGAACTCACGTCGCTGCAGTGTAGAGACGCGTCATCTTGCGCCCGAAGACATCGTTCCTGTTGTCCCCAGCCTTCTTAAGTGCTGCTGTCTCAGTTTGTTCGACAATGCCGACTTTGAGGCCTTGCGAGAGTAGCCTATCGAAAAACCAGTGATTAGACGACTTGAAAAATTGAATGCAATCACTGACTTCTTCAGGTGGACCTCGAGGCGATGTACTGGTATGCTAGCTTGATGAAAGTTACGTTTCGGGTAACACACAATTGCGAGATGTTTAGCTGCTAACTGATACTTGGTAGTTAAAGCGCTGCATTATTATCAGCCTAAGAGACCAACCTGTGCGTCTTCCCCGTAGAACTTCATTTTGTATCCGACTTCGAACATCAAGAGCGTGCCCGGGTTGTTTCTCTTCAGCTCGAGGACCTAGATCACAGTCTATCAACAAATCAGAAGAACGAGCGTCAGAGCTATTCTGTACCTGCAGTTCTAGAGGCGTATAGGGCATTCCGCTTGGTCCAATTTCGACTGCCTTCTTGGCGGAACCCCGGCCGGTTGACTGAGATTTACTCGAGGAAGCAGAAGCCTTCTTCTTGCCTTTGACACCATTTCCTTTCGAAGGGTTGGTGTACTGCGACACCAGTTCCTCAAAGTCAATTGAAAGATTTTCTTGAGAGTCCTCTCCTGCCTCTTCCTCGCCGCCTTCATCGTCGCTGGGCGGCTCTTGAGAATCGTCATCGCCAAGCTGTCTCTGAAGGACATTATTACTGGAAAGCAGTATCTTCTTGGCTCTGTCATGCCACTGGTGCTTCCTGCGCTCAACCTCTCGGTTTACTGGCTGTGTTGCATGGCTCGAAGACGAAGAGGCATCAAGCCGAAAGCGCTGGAGACCTATAGCCTCGGCCGAGGGCTGTGGTGGTTTGTCTGCATCTTTATGAGGCAGAATACCGCCAGGTGTGGCCGTGCTATGTTCGAGCTTCCTCTTCTTCGCGAGCGGCGGCGTTTCTCCTAGCGTTTTCCATAGTTCCGCGTCAGAGTCGGAGTCGTCTAGGGCAGTGAGGTCGACCACTGTCTGTCGGCTCGAGGTGGCCTGACGATCTCTGCGGACAGGCGATGATTTTGGGCTCTGCGAGAAGTAAGAGGAAATAACCGCTTGGCCGGTGTTCACGGTGGCCCTGGCCTTTCCCTTGGCCAGCGACATACAGGATCAGTGGGAGCGTGTGACAAAATTCGCCACCTGCAGCGTGACGGATCGGCGGTAACGCGTCTGTCACGCGTCTAATTACGCGACGCGCGTCTCGATCTTTGAATATTCGAATACCCGAGTCGGAGACTGACTAGTTTATAGTCACAGTCTGTTTTGCGAAAATACATTCTCATAACGGTAAAATCCAATAGCATAAAATCACAGCAGCATTACGCGTCGAAATATGATGTACGAGCTGCAAAAACGAATGCCAGGACCGTGGATTGAACACGGGACCTCCAGAAGACACCTTACAAGCTTCAGTCTGTTGCTCTCCCAGCTGAGCTATCCCGGCATCACAGCGAGCTTTTCTCAGTTTAAATACATCATATTAATGTATCTCTGGCCCTGAGTTCCATTCGCATTTCCGCACTTTCTTCGCCACACCTACTGCTCACCTATTACTACGACGATGTACGATCCCGGCTCACCCGTGTACAAAAAGGCCCGCAAACTACATCTCAAAACGACCAAAAACCGTCCAGTGGATATCGAAGATAGCTGGACACCGTTCAGGGTGATGGAGAAGAAATTCAAAGCGAAGTGGCCCCCGCCGGATCTGAGCGACGTCTTGGACTTGTCTGTAGCGTATGATGATACGGACATGGACAAGGAGGGCACAGGATCAAAACGTTCATGGGGTGGCCAAGCGAATGCTGTTGAATGGAGAGAGATCGGATTGGATGTGGAGGAGTGTGTGGAAGACAAGAGAGGGAAACGGAGGGCGTACGTCTTCCCAAGCGTACCTGGTGCGAAGCTAGTCTCGTACCCATTGGTATATGTACGTACTCATTCGAATCGCAATATACGATTTTTCTCCCCCTTTCGCAAACCGAATCATGCAATGAAAAGGCCTAGTATATCTGCCCGCCTTCATACCGCCTTCGGAGCAACGCACTCTCGTATACTGGAGTCTGAAGGAGCATGCTAAGCCGCCTAACGAGACAAATCTCGACGCGCACTATGTTCTACCTCCTCAAGGCCTGTGGAGTGCATTTCTCGAGGCGCGCGCCGCAAACGACTTAGCCAGCGAGAGCGTCCTACCAAAGCCTTCAGCCCCCTCCGGCCCTTCGTCTGACTCAGGCCCTCGAGCCCTCATAACAAACCCACCTGCCTCGCCAGACACACTCCCGCAACTCCTCTCCCTCCCTACACCACCGCCGACACCCTCTCCGCATGCGAAACCTGCCTCCCCGGCGTACCTCATCCCGAAGCTGCGGTGGGCAAATATTGGCTGGCATTACCATTGGGGGAACAAACAATATGATTTCAGCCGAGGCGCGGGTGGTGGTGTCGCGGACGTGTATCGACGAGTGTGCATGAGGGCGGTGCGAGGCGTGCGATGGGACGAAGTGTACCATGGTCTGGACAGCGAGGAGACGGGATGGAGAACGTGGAAAGAGGAGTATGGTACGCAAGCACGGAATATGTTTCGCCCGAGAAATGTTCACTCCGTCATAGAGCCTGATGCAGGGATAGTGAACTTTTATCAAACAAAAGTACGCGCACGTGGAATCCCTCTTGTTGTGCTGCTCACCCAGCTTCCTAGGACACGCTTATGGCGCACGTTGACCGTTCGGAGCTCTGTGCAACTTCTCCATTAGTCTCTATCTCGTGCGTCAATTCCGTGTCCGCGTCGTAGCAACACGCTGAAGATTGACACAGACTGGGCTGCGCCGCGGTATTCCTCGTCGGCGGTCCGACGCGGGACACCAAGCCCATGCCCGTACTTGTACGCTCTGGCGACGTGCTCATCATGTCCGGGCCATGTCGTCGTGCCTACCACGGTAAGTACGCTCTACACATAAAGCATGCCTAGTTTCACACTGCGGTTAGGTGTCCCGCGAATATTCGAAGGTACTTGTCCGACGTACCTCGCGGATCCTTCAGCGTATACGCTAGGCCGAGATGGAGCAGAAGACTGGCAACCATACGCAGAATACCTGCACGGTGCGCGAATAAATGTGAATGTTAGACAGGTCTTTCCGAGGGGTTTTGATCCAGCACTGCAAGAAAGGCTGGAAAAGCTCTACATCAGCGATTGAGCGCGACCGTGACGGACATAGAGCTATGGGACGTCTGAGGGACAGCGGAATGTAATTCGCCTATGCCTGATGATTTGCCAGAATACATGCAGCGCTTCCTAGCTGTCGACGAACGTCGTGGTAATCTACGTCGTGAGCTATGCCGCGCCGAAAAATCAATATGAATTTGCAGCAGGCTATGGCGGGATACTCACTATCCTCTACTTCGCCCCATGTCTTAATCTGGCTGTTGACCTCAACGTGTGCCAACTGCGCAGCATAGTCAACTGAAATATGCTTTTTGACGAGTGCGAGTGCAATAAGGAAGGACTTCGACGTATACGTCGCCCTTTCCATTGCTGTACACAGAAGTTTACTCCTCCTCACAGTAGGACACATGAATTGCAGGACATACCAGCTATTTCCCACTCGTTCATATCCTTCAAGACTTCGCGGAACGTGCTCAATGTCGTTTTGGGGTGAGGTTTCAGTGAGAAGCCAGTTGTGACATTGATCTTCACGTCGTAGGTATCGCGCGCCCATGCGAGGAGTGGTTCCCAGTACATCTCTTGCTGCTTCACCAACGACGGAGGATCTTCCGCGTGGAAGCTGCAGCATAGGCGTAAGTAGAACATCGACACATGTAGAGTCAAGCGCACCAGACAGTGTCAGTCTCCAGGTATCTGAGTAGCTGTTCGTGCACCTCCAAACGCGTCTCATTGCTCGAGTTTTGGAATGCGTCGATCGCTCGTGAGACGAGACTGGTCTATAGAACAGCGTTCAGCACCGTTGTGGCAGTTTCTGCAGTCGGACACATACCATGGGCAACGAATGCTGCTTCAGCTGCGTCTCCTGGTTGTCCCACTCCGCCGCAACGAGCGTCGCAGTGAGGGCCTTTTCCCGCGGGACGAGGAGCGGGTTGCCGGACGGGGTCTTGAGTGCACGTTTATCGAGCATGACGGCGAGGTGCTCTCCACCATGCTCGTTGACCTGCGTTTCGATTCCGACGGTCTTCCAGAACCGCTTCAGCGTCGCCTGTGCACCTGTACAGATACCTGTGAACTCTCGGGAGGGCCGGGCGGGTTTCCGAATGACGCACGGTTCGTGGCAGTCGCGGTGGGCTCGCCGCTCGCGACGGTGGCCTGGGTCCGTCGGAGTACATGTCTACTTGCACATAGTGATGGAGTTGGGCGCACGGAGGCTAGTGAGAGGAGGCGGATGGCCGTCATGAGCAAGAGAGGCAGCGGTTAGTCGCACAAATGGGCATTGTTGATGAGTCAGTAAAGCGATAACAAGCTTGTCTATCGGTGTGACGGCGCTTATGATGTACGCTATAAATTATTTCTGACTTTTGCTATCAGGTTAGGCAGCCGCTCAGCTGGTAATTATGACCAGAGCAAATATTGCGACTACCGAAATTCTCTAATTCGGTTCAATCGACCTCAAACCGCTATCAAGCAGACTAGAAACGAGTCTGCTATGAGGTCAGCCTGCGTCTGTTGGCCTTTCTCTCTTGCGACGCTTGGAAGCAGCTTGATCACTCCGTCCGCCGAAGATTCTAAGCAAGTCGTTTGCCTGAAAGCAACGCGATCCTATTATACACTAATAAAACACAATTCCCTCAACTTCTTTCTCGCCGGAGGCTGCCAAACTTTAGAGACTCTAGGCAACCAATTTACTGCTTGCCCCAGACGGCCTCCTTGCCAGCCTGCTTCGCAGCCTCGTCTCCCACGGCATGCCCGTATGCCATACGCGCAGCACCAGCAGCCACACCCGCCGCGCTCATCGCCGCGCTACCCGCTGTCGAGGCCGCGGTGCTCGCGACCGTCGAGCCGACGCCCGCATCCGTGGGCCGGGCGTTCGCCCAGCCATCGTCTGCCGACCGGAGGTGAGCTACCACCGCCGCGAGCGCAGCTCCCTGCACGCACCGTTGTTCGAGTTCTCGTTCAGCGGGTCGATGTTCGTCGACTCGATGATCCCGGGGCGGCCCTCGACGACACCCGCAGTGTCCCTGAAGTTCCGCTGCGCCTCGAGGTGCCCTGTGAAGTTGCTGCCGACACCTGCGCCGAAAGAGTCGGTGGTGGGGTCCGTCACCTATGGCCATCATGGTCAGTATTGTACACCCACCGTGTAGCCGGGATAGAGACCGCTCACGAAGTTGGATTGCATGGGGTCGCTGTTGACTGAGGACTCTGTCGGGTTCGCAACGCCAGGGTACACATCGACACCCCGGGCGCCGATGAGGGTGTTATCCTTGTCGTTCATAGCCATTTTGTGAGAGATGTGAGGATGCTTGAGCAAATCGAGTTCTCGTGGAGGTACCGGTAAGGGAGAAAGTTGTGAGCTGGAGTGATGTACAAGCTTGAATATATATATGGGTGGGCCGTGGTGATGCAATGAGGGGGGAGTGTGAGCTATCAGATGAGTGGCATTGCTAAGTGGTGCCGAGGATGCGGAGAATGGCGCCTGGCTGGGGAGGTGTGGGACCTTGTGAATCCAGCGCACTACGTTGACGTCAGCAGAGATGAATATTACGGGCACATGCGGACTGGCAGTTGGTACCACGGGAGGTTGATATGTGTACGTACTTTATGCCGATTCGCTACCCTCGCCAGATGCAGCACCATCTGTGTACTGAGCGATCTCTCCGTCCGTACCTCCTGCGTCTCCGTGGGAAAAGCGGATGGTGGAGCTGAGGGCTATGGACTCTAACTGCGATGACGGCGTTGCCTGTCCAGCTCGGCGCAAGCTCATGATGAACCGACTCGCGAGCATTAGCGGCTAGGAAAAAGGCGGGTCGATAGATTTAGTAAGGGCACGGAAGCGAACAACATAGACAATCATACGACGAGCTGAGTGATCTGCGTGATTTGGTTGATAAACGGCTGTTGTTCGCGTAAGGTACAATACTTGACACTGTCTCAAGATTGGAAGTATACTTACCAGATTAGCAATACCGCCTGCCGCCCCGAGGATTATGACGACCAATCCGGCACTATCAAACGTCGGTATCAGGAGGTATGGCTCGATGGTTATATGTGCCTCGACGTACACAAAGTACAAGCTGCCTAGATGCGATATAAATCAATGTCGCCAGTGTCTATTTGGTTAGGCATATCCCTGACTCACCGTTACGCGCAAAACAAGCTGCAAGCGATGGGAAACTACCGAGGGCCAAGTTCCTGGTTAAGCGGATTTGACGGTATGTCTTTCTCCAAGTGAGGAACAATACAAATAGCTCCGACAAGCCTATGCAGATATAGTAGACATA